ATTTTGTCTTCAGAGCATTGTTTTGAAAAGTGCTAGGTACTAAGTGTGTGACGGTCCGTGTCCTAGAGCTTAGGTGGGGCATGGACATGGCCACATGGGCAATGTGAGTCAGAGCATAGACAAGATGAGACAGTGTCAATTCTGGTAAAGAAAGTGTAGGTTGCCAATGGGGGCCTAGTGCCTAACTTTATTTTGAGATATCAAACCAAAAAGAACTTTCAGGAGTACTCAAGTCAACATTAATTGCAGTATCCTTGTCTTTACAAATGTAGCATAAGACACTACTCTCTGAGTTTCTCTGCTCAACAGAATTTTAACTTACATAGCTTTCATGTGTGCTTGATAAGACTATATATCCTTACCTATACAAGCATGAATGATATATGCAGTTACACACTTGCATAACTCTCTAATCTTTTTGGACTCATGCAGAACATTGTTCTAGTTTTTCTGCATGGTTTCCTTGGAACCTGTGAAGAATGGATTCCAATCATGAAAGCCATGTCTGGCTCTGCCAGATGCATTTCAATTGATCTCCCAGGCCATGGAAGATCACAGTTGCAAGATTGGGTTGACAATGATGTTATGGACAAATCAACATTTTCAATTGAAGCCATCGCAATTATGTTGTGCAATTTGTTTGATATTTTACATCTGAAGAAAGTGATTCTTGTTGGGTATTCCATGGGATCCAGGATTGCATTATACATGTCACTAAGATGCAATGCGAAGGTATACTTATGGCTCAGTCATGTTCCCCTTCCCATCCCAACCCCGTATAAATTCAGGTATCTGATTCCAACAATTTGTTTTATAAGGTTGAAGGGGCTGTCATTATCTCTGGGAGTCCTGGATTGACAAATTCAGTAGAAAGAGAAATGCGCAGGACCAAGGATGACTTTACTGCATCTCTCCTGGTTTCTTCGGGCCTGGAATCTTTTCTAAACGTTTGGTATGCTGGTGATCTCTGGCACAGGTACTTGTTAAACAAGTTTTAAGACGCTACTATGACTTTATTTGTACTCTAAACAGTCGGATAGATTTTGAGCACTTTGTAATGTAAAATCTGCATTCTTCAGTTTAAGATGTCATCCACATTTCAAGAAGATAGTCTCCAGCCGCTTGCGACATGCTGATCTGGAATCTCTGGCCAGAGCTCTGTCTGGTTTGAGCATTGGCAGGCAACCGTAAGTTACACTATCATCCATCATAAACTTGTGGAAAAAAGAAAGAGAGAATAAAACAGCAGGAAGAAAGAAAGCAAATGTGAAAAGGAGAGTAGATTTTATATGTTGTTTTGGTATAGGGAGGAAATAAGAGAGAAATGGCATAGAAAAAAAAATTGCATGAAAAGACAAAAATGCCCTTGTTGCATGCATTACATACTATATGCGGAAATGCGAGAGAATGTCCATGTAAACAAACAAAACAATAATGATCTCAATACATTTTCTTACCATGGAAATACCAAGAAGAGGGTGCGGAAAGGTGGTGGTTCCCACCCATTCAAAAACTCCTCCCCTATTCCCCTTAACACAAACACACAAACATTTTTCTTGATTTATCTATCATTGATGTCTGTAGGTCCTTGTGGGAAGACCTGAAACTCTGCGAGCGGCCACTTATGTTCATAGTGGGAGAAAGTGATGCCAAATTCAAGGCCATCGCCCAGAAGATGCTCAATACAATGGATCAAAATGTGAGTGTTGTGAATTGTCCAGAAATAGTTGAGATTCCTTGCTCTGGGCATGCTGCTCATCTTGAGAACCCTCTTTCTGTCATCAGTGCAATAAGCCGGTTTTTGAGGAAGGTGAAGAACTAATATAACAAAACCATCTTTCATTCCAACAAAAAAAACAGATAGATTTCAACTTACATTTTGTTATATATTCATTCTATTGTTTGGCTTGATGTATTGTTTGGAGCTTTAAGAATGTTCCATTCACTTGTTCTCATTGCAACACAAGGGTATCACAACTAAACTTTCATTACTCATTGGGGGGAAATGAAACTTTGATTCGATAGATTTTGAGTAGATTTGAGTTTAATAATAGTTCATTTGGGGTCCCAAATTTCATTTTACAAAGGTTGTTTGGTACAAGTAGATGTTGAGATAAATTTTTTTAACTAGAGATTTTGTCATGACATACTTCCGCGTTTTTCGAAATTAACTTTCCATATACTTTTTTTTATAGAGATTAAAAAGGTCGAGAGTTTACCATCAAATACGGAGTAGCTTGTTACATTTTTTAAACTACAAGTCTTTTTTTTCTTTACATATTTTCAGGTATCATTTGTTAAAATGATAGTCATATATGGAGTATTTTTTTATCTCAATTTAAATTGTATGTTCACTATTCACAAAGTCAAATTTAAACAAAATTTTTGGTATTCATTTGACTTCTTTTATACGATTAAAATTTTAGATACTTCCTCCGTCTCAAATTAAATTAATATTTATTATTCAAATGATCAAGTTTATTTATTTTTTTCCTTATTTTCGTAAGTCATTTAATAAAATAATATAGACATATTATAGATCTTTTTATGTAGTTTCCATATAAGGAATTTTTATTTTTTTTAATATTACATTATTTTTCATATAAAATGATTTGAAAATAATTTCAGTCAAAAATCATAAACCGAAATAGACAACATAAATTTGGATAAAAGAAGTAAAATTTTTAAATTTAAAAATTTTATTTTTAAATTTCACACTAAATTTTGTTGAAACACGGGTTTATCGTGTTTTCGTACTAAAGCCGTGTTTGTTTTTATGACAGGTTTTGATAATGCCAAACCGCCGTGAACGAGACAAGTTGTTGAATATACAAGACGAGAAATAAATATAAGAAGAAAGCAAGAGAACAAGAGCTAAAAGAAGACCAAGAACGAAGACCGTAGTCTTAGCGTCGTTGAGTCGGTCACAATGTGATCAAGACCGACCCAAGCCTTACACCTTGGCTCTTTAGGCTAAAATTCTTTTAATTGCATTTCACATCATAAAAATGTTTTTCAAACATGTTTAAAACATTAAAAACACTTGGTGTTCGCCCAAACCAAAAACCAAGCCATCCGACGTTCGGGTTTCAGAAACCGGCGTTCGGCATTCGGTTTTCGGCGTTGGTTTTTGGCATCCGAACCAACCAAGTGGTTTTCTACTTTTTATGATTGGTTTTTACTTCTGGTCACATTTAAATAGTTTTTCATCAAAAACACTTCAAAAACCACCTTTCGTTTTTTGTCGTTTGATAAAAACCATCTGAAACGGCATTAACTTGGCTAGCCGTGGTTTTTACTCAAATGACGTGGTTTTTAAAGTAACTCACTTGATTTCTTAGCCAAATACATCAAATAAGTGTTTCAAACACTTGGTTTTATTTTGGAGAACTTTGGATTTTTCGGTCGGTTTTTGCATCGGTTGGCTAGGTCGTGGTTAAGGCAAAGACCATGGGTTTTTGGCTAACCACCCACCCAGCGATGGGAAGATCTTCCCATCGATGGGTAAGCGGTCCCTAAGCCAAACTAACTTCCAGAACCATGCCAAACAACGATGGTAAGTTCTACCCATCGCTGTTAAAGCCTTGGTGCAACATTATCACAAGGCAGAACAACCTTGCCCAACGATGGGAAACCTATCCCATCGATGGGAACCCAGCGATGGTAAGGCTAAACCATCGATGGGAAGGCATGACCGTTGGAAGTCATTTAAGGTTGATTCTTTCCTTGTTTGGAAGTCAACCTCCCACCCAGCGATGGGAAGCTTGTACCCATCGATGGGTAGGCAACCGTTGGCTTCAAAACTAAAGAAAAATTGGCTTACCAGCAATGGGTAAGTTCCAAACATCGATGGGAAGCCAATATCCTGCAGATCCCAAATCTTTTCAATCTCATAAATTAAGTCAATCACCCCTTTAATGCATTGGTCCGTTGGAGCCTATCTTGGCACTATAAAAAGGGGTGTTTGGGTCTGCTTTACACATCAATTCACTTCACAATATTCATACTTTCATTGCATTCAAATAACATCATTTTCCATAGCTTTCTAGAGCCAAATTGTGTGAAGTTTGAGTTGTTCTTGAGCGTTCTAAGTTTACTCATCATCTACTCTTAAAGAGAGTCTTGTTCTTGAGTGTTTAGTGTTGTATACACGTTAAGGGAAGCTTGTTTCCCTTGGTCATATGAAGGAAAGGTATTTTCCTTCGGGTTGAAGTCTTGGAGTGCGGTATCTCCGAGCAAGTGTTGTTGAGGCTCGTGGGACTAGGTTGTAACGGTTTGTTAAGCACCCGTAAGCTTAACGAAAGTAGTGTAGCTCGAGAGAGTCTCTCGGGAGACTGGATTAGCCACACGTTGTGGTGAACCAGTATAAATCTTGGTGTGCTCCCTTTACGCTTTCTACGCTCTTTACGTTTCACGTTCTTAATTTTTTATTCCTGCAATTTCTACGGTCAAACGCTATTCACCCCCCTCTAGCGTTGGTCAATTATTCTAACAAATTTATATAAAATAAATTAAAAATAAGTTTAGTTAAATATTATGAATTGAAATACACTAATTAAATTGGAATAGAAGGAGGATCATTTTTGTAAAATTTTAGATGTAATTTTAAATATAATGAATTCTATAATTAATTTGTTAAAACATGAGCTTTTTCATATTTAGTTTTCATTATTAAAAATTATAGATTTCTTTTCACAAGTTTTTTTTCTTGACTTCCTATCATGTTGGTGATAAACATATAATTTTACAATAACAATACATCCTTGCTATAGCTAATATCAAGTGGCGCTATTGATGTATTCTTTATCCATTGGAGTCACAACCATTGTTGTTGTAGCGTTGTTAATAAAAAAGACATCAAAATACAAGGCTGGATTTAGATTCAATGTACAATTACATTTTTAATTCTCAATTTAACATTAAATATGATCAAAAATTAATATAGGTATAAACTTGGCTTTGGTTCAACAAAATAATAATATGAAAATTTCATATAAAAAAAATCACAGGAACAACATCCAAGATGAGAGTAACACACAAGTTGAACACCACAAGAGGTTTCAACAAATCCTGCAAAATTATCATTATATACCTCACTAAATAAAGGTTACTTTTCCCTTTCACAGTTTCAACTACACAATTTGGATTTTCTTCTCTATATTTTTGAGAGGGTTTTTGGTGCCACATACGATAAAATTCACACCGATATCATCCGATATTGACCAACGCTCTGTTAGAGGGTTGTACGTAAAGCCACCCATCTCTTGGACCTAAAAGCAAAGGGACAGTGAAAAGGGAACAGCGTATGTGAACAAGAATGCCAAAATTGTTAACCCCAGTGAATATGTTCTTGACTTACCGATATAGAGCAGCGCTGAAGAATAAGAACCAGTTCTTCTGGTGTAAGAAAGCTTGACCACTGATGAGTACCTTTAGGAAGCTATGAAATGGCATTCACAATAATTAGCGCAATCTTTGTATTTATTTGTATGCATAGAGACTATAGACTATAGGTTTATTCATGATCTCTTCTAGCAAAGTGAAATTCGCCAGATAACAATGAGGTGATTTTCCATTGTTGAAATTAAAGAGAAAAAGAAGTTTCAACCTTCACATTAGACATCATTTTTATTACTCTTATCTCTCCCACTGTTTTTGACACATCCACTATTGATAGGGTCAAACTAAATATTTGTTACATATTTTCATCTATTTGTTGAAATAATAGTCGTGTCACCTCTTCTTTTATAGAACTTTTGATGTAGTTTATAAATATATAATTTTTATTGTTAAATTTTACACAATATTTAGATAAATTCTATTAAAAATAATTCCAATCAAACGTTGTAAACCCAAATGGGACAAAAATAGCGGGACAAAGAAAACAATTGATTTCATCTCCTTGTTTTTTTTAATGAAATTGGTGACGTGAATTTGGTCCAGAGCTTATAACATTGTCACTTAGCTTTTTATTTTTGCATGAACTTATTGAGTTACTTAATTTTATACAATTAATTGGCACTATAAATTCAATGTCATGGATCCCAACTAGTTGGGATTATTGTGTTGATAATGATGATGATGATGATAGAAATAAGAAGGAAAATAGAATGACCCCCACCCGGAGTTAGACAGATACAAGAAGTTAAGATAAAACAAAGATGGGGAACTTAAGGTCTTAAAGGAAAATTGTTGGGATTATTGTGTTGATAATGATGATGATGATTGATGATTGATGATAGAAAAAATATGAAGGAAAATAGAATGACCCCTCTACCTGGAGTTAGACAGATACAAGAAGTTAAGATAAAACAACAAAGATTGGGAACTTAAGGTCTTAAAGACTAAAAACCACATACCCAATGTAAGATATACTCAGCTGCAACTATGGCAGTTGCATAAGCCCTCATTGTACGATTAATTGTTGATATCACTGTAGCACCACTATCAACTGTCAACTCTGATAAGGATTTGCAAAAGTCAGCAGGATCAGCTACATGTTCTATCACCTGGTTCACAAAAATTCCAATGAAAAAGAGAAGAAAAAAACTAAAACTACATCAAATATACAATTGGGGCTAAAGGAATGAATGCATATGATTCCCTCTTTATGTTCTAGTCTAAAAAGTTCCTATCTATAAAGTTATTATGGTTTGTAAGCATACCTCTAGAGCAATTACAGCATCAAACTGCATCTGTTCTTCAACCAAATTTTCTGGCCACATAATTGGCAATTACATCACCTTCTGAAGATATACACACTTGGGTGGTTTGACTAGTATAAGGGTTTAAATAGAAAAATGAGATACATATGCGACTAATCCAATCTTTAAAAAATCATAAATGTAGAAAATGATCAAACAAAGATTTAGTGGCAGATCCAAATATATCACACACATCAGCTTCAACAAAATTGCCATATAAGGACAAGGAGTGAAACAAAACATAAGCAGGCTGCAAGCTTAGAAAACTACTGTCCTAGATTTGACAAAATGATACTATTAGCTATACAATTCAATAAGCAATGCTACATATGTTGTGGTAATTGGAGGACATATACTGTAACAAAGCATGAAAGCACACAAAATAGTTATGTTAATTAGCCTCTGCTTCAGAAGTTTGGCTAACATTTTTTATCTTTATTTATATCATGGCATAAGTGTCTTGATTGAGGAAATAAAAGATAAATAATCAGGTCATCATATAGCAACTACTCTACACTAGTAGCTGCAATTTTTTGTTTAAAAAGAAACCTTCTTATGAAGCATCTTGGGGGAGTCCATTGGTTAACATCCGATAATATGAACAAGCACAAGCCAAAAAATAAAATACAGGCTGAGAAAACTTTTACTAAACATACCAGCGGTTGTGCAACGATAGTCAATTGATGAAGTTGTTGGATCCAAATCCTGAAGGGAAAAAATGATGTCATTGACAATCAAATTTTCATAATATCTAAAATAATCCCAAGTAATTAAGTATTTGCACACTTGATCATGACATCATACAACAATAAACAAGTGTGATGGATGATATAAAGTTTAAACACACCGCATGGAGGCGTGCAATCTTGATGTTCTTATCAACAGCATCAATTCCCATTACAGTAGCCCCCATTCGAGCAAGAGGCTGCATTAATAAGAATAGTAGAAGACATCATAAATTTCACTTATATGATATTGTTGAATATATGCATACAAAGAAATACTCTGTCCTCCACTATTTTCACCAGATTGTCAATAGGAATGATATCAAACCACAATATGAACTTTTTTATACTCTGTAATAAAGAAATATGGAGTACTCAATTAGCTGGAATGGAGAATGCTATTGTTGGCATTCATCATGTTGCATACTTGTAACTTGTCAGAACATTCAGTAGAAGGTATACCTCAGATAAAATCCCACCTCCACATCCAACATCCACAAATTTGAGTCCTTCAAAAGGTTTGGGAGAATAAGGATCCTTCCTGAAAACATTTACTTAGCTGTCATTAGTCATTCCCCTAATGAAATTCATAAAAACAGGCACCAGATATATATATATATATATATATATATATATATATATATATATATATATATATATATATATATATATATATATATATCAAATGCGGGAAAGGCATATGAGCTCATGAAGTTAAATGCAAGCTTTAAACTGATACATTTATGTTAACTAAGAAAAAGAAGAGTTCAATCAGTCTAAATACATTCAGACTCCAAAGAGTTAAAATGTACTCCCTCCGTCCCGAATTAATCGTCTCACTTTTCTTTTTAGTCCGTCCAAAAATTATTGTCTCACTTCTTTACTTTCCTAATAAAATAAAGAATATATGGTCCACAATCTCTCTTTTCTCTAATCAAACTGGGAAGATTAACTCAAGACAGAGGGAGTATATTGAAAATAAAAAACACCACTCACAGTAACAGAATAAATTCATGCTTAAAATGTGAAAAGTGAGGACATTAGAAAGTGGTGAGATTAACAACAGAATAGTTTTTTTTATTTATTAAAAAAACTCAATAGATTCAAAAAATTGCAATTTTTTTACTATTGAACTCTATGTCATTATTTTGGATACCAATAAAGCCTCTAGATGAGGTTCAAGTCCATACAAACCAAACCTCCCTTAAATTTTAAAACTTTACTAATCAAGACAGAAATGCAAATGCACTTCAACATACAAACTAAGTTTTTTCTCCTAAACAAAAATCACCCTAAGAATTTAGGAAATTTTACCCGAAATGTCGACAAAGTGTGGACCTGATAAAAGCAAGTCTTGTGGGATTCATCTTATGCAGTGGCTTAAATGGCCCTTCCGAGTCCCACCTATTGTCCAACGGAATAATTACTAATGTAAGTGATGTTCAGTACTGAAAAGAAAAAGGAAGGCCGAAATTGTCAGAGAAAAACACAAATCACTGACCAGGTTTCAGCAATGGCGGAGAACTTGGCAAGTTCAGATTCATTGAGAGAGCTGGAAACAGATCTAGCATTGGATGAGGCCGATGAAGGATCGATTTTCGTTTCCTGAGAAGTTTCTGAATAACGCCGCGACTGAAGGAGGGACTGGGATCTTGTGAATGGAGGAGAATGAGTAGACATAGCGTTTCCCATACGGTGAAGTCTAGTCTGGAAGAGGTTGATTAGCGTTTGGTGACGCCTCGTCACAAGCTTGGTAGCCATGGCGGAGATTCGGAAGTTTCAAAATCAGAAGACGGGATGATATTTTAGACCGACCTGACCCGCTCCCACTGAACAAAATCCGGGTCCAATCGAAATTGGGCTAATTGTGAGAAACGAAATGGACTTGGAAAAATGGGAAAACGGGAATTTAGGAAATGTGCATTAGAGCTAGAATTTATTTTGGGCTTGGACACTTTTGATACTTTTATTATTTCCTTCAACTCGATTGGCTAAAATATCGAATGACATAATGTAATTTTTTACAATCTTTTGATATTGAGATATTTATATTTTAAAGTATCGAATGACATAATGTAATTTAGAATAGAATATTCTAAAATATAACCCTAACATAAAGATAAAATGTTTGTATATTCATGCTTAAAAAGTAGTCACATAAGAAGTTTTTTTTCTAAACATTGTTTTCAAATAAAAATTTTGTTAAACTTTTACATACTCCCTCCGTCCCTAAATAAAGTTCATCTTTCGTTTTTTCTTTGTCCCTAAATAAATTTTTCTTTTCTCTTAAAAAACCCCTTTTATCCCTTACTTTTTCATACCATACCTATCACATCATACATTTTTTCTAATAATCTACCTATCACATCTTACTTTAACACATCACATCAAGGGTATTTTTGGAAAGTCAACACCAAAATATCCCTCCTTTAAATCCTCAAAAAGTGAAAAGTGGAACTTTATTTAGGGACGGAGGGAGTAGTTAACTAGGTTAGTGTTTAAAAATATATTTCATTAATATTTTATTTATATAAAATATATAACTAAAGATAACTTACATTTGAGCGCAAGTATTTTTGTAGAAAAAACTAACAATTGGTTATTTTGAGATTTATGATTTCTGAATAATTGCTTACTCAAAAAAAAAAAGAGTTTGATTATTCAATTTATGTGGTTTGGTGAATCAAACGGAAAAAAAGGGGGTCTTAAAAATATATATACATAAAGAGGAAAAAATGTTATTAAAATATTTTATCATTTGTTTCATTAATCACTGGAATGATAACCAAATTCAGAAGGGACTGCAGATTTGGATAAATATGGATGTTGTATTTCGGTGTCAGACAAAATTGACAACATAAGTAATGTATAAAAAGGAGGGGAAATGTATTTTTCTTTAAAAAAAGAGGTTAATGATAAATCTTGTAAAACAAAGAAAGGTACCTTGTTGAAAAAAAATAGTATTTTCGTATTCAGGTTTTCAAAATAAATTGCTTACCTTTCAAAAAATCTTCCTTGAAGCTAATGAACCATTAAATTTGAATGAACTCGATGTAGATGAACCATTGATTTTGAATGAACCATTGAATCTTGGTAATAAGAGTTTCATTGAACTTTGAAGATGTCTACGAATTTGATGATGTCCCAGATGAGTATTTTGTAGACATGTTTATTAATGAACCTCTTGAGGCAGAGGTGGACAATGCTATGTCATCAGAAGATCATACTGTTTACAAGCATTTGTGAATTCTCATTGGATGTCATGTGATCGTCTTGCGGAACAGAAGAAATTTGGAGGACTCATCGTTTTTTAAGAGCATGTGCAGTGGCAAGAAAGTTGAATGCATTGCACTGCCACATTAGCTCTTTCCACTCATATCATGGCATGTTAAGGCCAAAATACCTTGTTTTGTGAGGCATAGGTGTGACACTCCACTCATCTTTTTTTTAATTTTTTTAAAATTCATTTATGAAAAAAATGTATAAGAAAGAAGAATAATTTTTTTAAAAAAATAAATAATAAAAATATTTTTTTATGTTTTAAAAACATAAAAAAATGTAAAAAAGTGATAAAAATAATGACTTGTCACTGTAAAGTTTGTCACTCCATTCACTTGCCACACGTTCACTGGACAATTTTTGATTGGTTAAAATGTTCCATGTCACCGTGTGGCATTCCATTTTTGCCTTGTTATTGTTGATGCTCTAAGCGCCGTCATGGATTGAACATAATTGATCTGTTTGCGAAACAAGGTTGGGGATATTTGACACTTCCCGAAATGCTTGTTTCAAGGCTGATCAAAAAACTAGGTACCTTCCCAGCTCGAATTTTTCTCGAGGCTTCTTTGGGAGGTACACGTTAGCATCAGTTAGAGGAGCATTTTATCGGCTCGGGGCCTCCTAAAGTGGAACATTTGGATGCGTATTGGCGGTGGGCGAGATACCGGGATTTGGGGATCCCCTTAGCTTTTGGATGGATCCTGACAGTCCCTTAGTTTCTTTAATAGATTGTGCCTCCTTGGGCCATTGGGATTCTACCCTTCAAAGGGCTCTTTTTCAATGAAAATGATATCCCATGTGAGTAGAGCATTTTGGCACACTACAACTGAAGCATTCACAACAACACATAACGTACATGCATAACAAACATGATGTTCACAGATGATAATGATGATGATGATACAGAGTATTGATGATGGGAGTTTATGGATTGCAATGAGTCAAATAACCAACAACAGCCTGCTGCTTTATTGCAAGTGTGATGATGATGATAACAATAATCCTTCATGGATCATATGCAGATTGCCTACTCAGCCATCGGCTTCAGTGCTGCTCTGCGCCACGGAGACTTGAAGGCAGGACGAACATATCCCATACCGGGGTGCCCGCAGCGATTATCAAGGCGAATGCATTTCCGACAAGCAATTTCGTACCCCTCTCCAACTTCATGCACGCCAGGCGGGACCCGATACCGATAGGGACACGACCTAACGTTGCACCCCTTCCGAAGGCAAACTCCACATGGGGCGTCCTCCAGCTCTAGGCTGGACACACACTCTTCCAAATCTTGTTCTTTCTCTGCGTGTTCCTCTTTCAAGTCTTCGTCGTCTTCTTCTTCTGATGATGAGTCACTCATCAAGTCTTTTTCTTCTTTCTTCTCACATGCATCATCATCTAATTATGTTTGCATAAACACCCACATGCAAATTAATGAAAGGAACATACACTATATATATATATATATATATACACACACACACACACACATACGCATACGCATACACATACACATACGCATACGCATACGCATACACATACACACACACACACACACACACACACACACACATACACATACACATACACATACTACCTTCGTCCCAGTGTATTTGTCCCGTTTGACTTTTTCGAGTCAAATTGGACAAACTTTGAACTCCAAGTACTCTCAATTTATATTGCATATTAACATAATGAAATACTATTTTGAAAGTTCTCAATACGATAAATCCAATAAAGTCATTTTTATGTTAAAATATATTACGGTTTTTATTTAATTGAAGCTCAAAGTTTGTCGAGTTTAACTTGAAAAAGTCAAACTGGACAAATACACTGGGACGGAGGGAGTATATCAGTTTAAATACTCTCTCTTGTCAAAATAAGGAAAACATTAGGGAACATACGTGTAGATCAAACTCAAACCTTTATGTTAATTATAAGTTGCACAGAGCAACTCAGACATGTGAATTACAAATAAAGAAACCCTTGAAGAAATTCACACATGTGAATCACAACTAATAGTAAAAAAACCTTGGAGAAGAAGAAGAAACACAGTCATGTGAATTACAAATAATCGTCAAAGAAACCCTTGAAGAAGAAGAAACTCAGACATGTGAGTTACAAATAATCGCCAAAGAAACCATTGAAACTCAGGCATGTGAATCACAAACAATCATCAAACAAACTCTTGAAACTGAATTGCAAATAGGATAAAGCTCTTCGTGTCAGTGTAAGTATTTTTCTAAGTATTTAATGTCATTATTCTAAGTATTTTTGTGTTGGTGTAATGCTAATATTTGTTAAAGCACGAACACTTTGTGTCGTGTAAATTTATGTTAACTCACCACCATCAAAATGTTGGTATAACCTTTGGTGTAAGTTTGGGGTACAAATTTTGGTCTAAGTGTAGCATGGTCCTTGCAAATAATAGTCAAAGGAACCCATGAAAGAACAGAAAGAATGAAAAAAAAAACAAGCCTAAATCTAGGTGTTTTGCTAATTCCGTTTCCGGAAATTGCAAATCAGATCAGAGATTTACAAATGGAAGCAATAAGTGTTTGGTGCAATCGGATCAGAAATTTACAGATAGGGAGTAATATTCATCATCAGCCATAAAGAAAAAAAAGGAAGAACAACACATCGTACCTTGCTGCTTCGCCAGTATCCGCTCTTCCAGATCCCGGAGACGCTGGAAGACCTTGTCACAGGGCCGATTACCATCTGTGCGTGGCCGCCGGTCCATGATGTCGACGACGGTTGTGAGGGATGAGGAAGTCTGCTGTTTACAAACTATCCTTATCTTTTTATATACAACGCACAAAAGATGAGCCTACGAACCACCAAAAATACTTAGAATAATGAGATCAAATATTTATTCGAGACTACAATTTTCAAATATTGATCATTCGGTACAAATTTTGAATTAAAATATATTGGGCTACTGACCCATCGGCTCACGGGTCAGGTCTGGGCTCATCTGCCCGGTTAAATAAGTAAATTGGGCTGATTAAATTTAATAATTACACCGTGTCCCAATGCACTCATCACAAAGCCCGTTAAATTCCTGTGCGAGCCTCATCGTCAAAAAATTACAGTTATTCATTTACAACCACAATCATCATAACTAACGTGTCACGAAAACCTGTCTAAAATGATTAAATAAACCAAATAGTTAATTTCAAAATCGAACACTGTTTGTAAAACATGGCAAATTATACTCCGTATTAGATACTCCGTACAATAACTCTTTTCGGAACAATAAATCCTTCTAAAACTCTTTTCTCGGCGAATCCTTGGGTGCCCCTCCTAAATTGAGTGTTTTAAAACACTCCTTATGTGTACTAATAACTAATGCACACATGGACACTTATGCCACATCATTAATCAAATAAACTTTTTAGTTTAATTTGCAATTATTCTTAGGGGATATCGAAGTAAATTAAAACTCAATTTTCAATTCTCTCTTCCACAACTTCCCGTCATAAGTATGCCACTTTTTTTTGTTTAGATACTTAGAAACAGAGCTCAATAATCTATTTTTTCGTTTCTCAGTTTCATAAATAATTTTATTAGATATTATATAAAATTGATATTAAATGTTAATACAAACAAAATATTATTAGATTTATATATCTTGTAAAACATTTTTTCAAAATATATTTTATTGGAATTAATATACAATATAACTTTGATTTTAATCAAATGTTGATCTTAATTACTACCTCCGTCCCTGAGTATTTGTCCAATTTTATCTTTTTTTGGTTAACTGTTTTCAACCTTTGACCTATAATTAAATAAAATATATATTATATTTTAATTTTATAAAATAATATTTTGAAAATACTTGATATAATAAATCTAATAAAATTCTTTTCTACCAATATCTAATATGATTTTTATTTAAATTGAGGTCAAAATTTACTAATTTTGACCAAAAAAAGTTAAAAGTGGACAAATACTAATGGAGAGAGTAGTTGACAGCAAATAGACAAAAACACCGGATAAAAATAAACTGAGTAAAAAATTTGATATTTCAAAATGATATTTCAAAATAAGTATATTAATCTAAATTTATATCACAATTCATTATACTTTTGTGTAAAAGTTTAAAAATAATTACCATAAAACTGAAATGGAAAGAAACAGGATGGACGAAGGGAGTACTCATATATTTATTGTGCCAAGATATTAATATTGCTACAAGATCAATCCTAAAAATTTCTTTCCATTTTAGTTTATTAATTTAAAACCTCAGAAGTTTTATTTTTTACGATATTTCTTTTTGTAAAATCACAAGTAACTTTTTATTTTAAGTAAATCTCGTAAACTAAATAAAAGTAAATATTTTTAAGTTTTATAATTATAATCAAATAAATTGAATTAAAAATAATAAGTGTCAAATCTTATAAACTAAAACAGAAAGAAAGTTCTGGGATGAGTGTAATAACAATATTAATATCTTGGCACAATTAATTAATATATGAGTACTCCCTTCGTCCATCATTGTTTTCTCCATTTAATTTTTAATGGTTATTTTTTAAAATTTTATTATAAATTATACAAAAGTACATTAAATTGTGATATAAACTAAAATTCAACAAAACCATATTGAAACACAGTTTTAAAATAAAATATTTGCACTAAATAGCACTAAAATTTAAGTCATTTCTCTAAATATCACTTAAACTATTTTATTCTCTAAATAACACTTAATAATATCCATAATGTCCAGTGATGGCAAATATTTACTTAAATAATAACTAATGCAAAATGACTAAAGTGTTACATTGAGAAGAAAAACGCATGTCGTGCTATTTACAGAAAGTCATTATATTTTAGTGCTGTTTAAGTAAATTCCCCTGTTAAAATATCATGTTTTTTATTTAACTAATCTTTTTCTCGAATATTTTAGGTTTTTAACTATTTGCAGTCAACTAATTAAGATCAACATTTAATTTTTAATTAAAAAAAATTATATGGTATATTAATTACATAAAAACATATTTTGAATAATATTTTACAATATATAAAAATCTAATAAAATTGTTTTTGTACTAATATTTAATATCAATTTTAATTATTTATGATCTAATTATATCTGATACAATTGAATTCAATTTAAAGTTAAAATTAATATGATAGTTTTATTTTGTAACGTTATTATGTTCATTCGCATAATTATCTATTAATTCATCAATATATAATACATCAATAACTTTTATTCAAGAATTATTTTTTTTATGGAGCAAAAAAATCAAATTGACTAGTAAAATAATTTTTTTGTATCATATCTACATTTGTTTTTAAATCTCTTGCAGACAAAATGAGCAATTCTTTATACAATGTAGAGAACGTTATCAAATTTATTATTGTTGTAAGTTTTGTTATTAAATTTTTTTTGACATGTTATTGTTCCTAAAATAAAAAAAAGTAATAATAATAATAACAACTATAATTTGATCATATGTAACATTTCTTTTATTTAATTGTATACACTATTATAGTAAAATTATTATTTTTTGGGAAGAAATTATTAATATTAGATTATATACAACATTAAATAACCAAACATAATCTGATTGTATAGTACTACGTAATAGTTATATGATCATACACAAAATAATAATATTATTTTTCACTTTTTTCATTTGATGTGAGTTCATTGAAACTGATTTGATCTCTTAAACTTATTTTTTACATATTAGATATTTAGATATTATGGAGTACTTGTTTCTTTTAAAAGTGTATCCATTTTTTTCTAGTCCAGGTTATTAGATCATACCAAAAAAAATTTGCAAAATAATAATATATAATAATAATAATAATAATAATGATAATAATAATAATAATAATAACAATAATATAAACAAAGAAAAATGGAATACTTAAAAGTTAAAATGAAAGAGGAATGACGAAATTTGTGGAAGATAAAGAATTGAAAATTGGGTATTAGGAGTAATTTGATAAAATATCTCAGGGACTAATTGCAAAGTAAAATATTTATTTGACCATACTTAAATGATGTGGCATATGTGTCCATGTGTACATTAATTATTGGTACACATCAGGAGTGTTTCAAAACACCCAATTTAGGAGGGGCATCGAAGGATTCGCCCTTTTCTCTTGTGAGACAACTATTTCTAGCCGTGCCACGCACGGATTCGGACAAATTTCTTTTATTTTACAACGTAAATTTTTAAAATGAATTGATTTTTAGGGGACATACTCCATCCGTCCCCAATTTGATTACAAATTGCGGGTTACGGAGTAAAAATTTCCTACTTTTTGAAATCATTTTATTTACAAATTGGTATATCAATAAAATATAAAAAATTACATATTAAAAAACTACGTTAAGAGTTCTACAAAACAAGAGGTGACAAGAATATTTTATTTTATCAAATACTTAATGAAATCGCGTAAACAAACAAAAGTTATCGAGAGGAGAGAAAAAAAATTGTAATCTATTTAGGGATGGAGGGAGTATTATTTAAGCGTCAAATATAAATGATCTAGATTTGATGTATTTCTACAAATCTATAATTTTTCCCTTTATAAATTCAAAAATATATTAATACAAAAAGTATTAGTGATTCAATAATTTTTTTCCTCACACTAGTTTAAAAAACCTAAATATTGGTTTGCACCAATATTTTGTGTTGGTGTAATGATAATTTTTGTTAACCTACCAACACTTTATGTCGTTTGAACCATCAAAATGTTGGTGTATATCTTTGATGTGAGTTTGGAATATAATTTTTGGTATAATTTAAGTATATTTTTATATTATTCTTATTCTAATTATTGTTGTCATAACTTATTGTTGTCATTATTATTATTGTTATTATTATTATTATTACTACTATTATTACTACTACTACTACTACTATTATTATTATTATTATTATTATTATTATTATTCACAATCGCATTATCCTGATCAATATCTTTAAGATAAAAAAGTAATGTTATTCTTCATACAAAAAAATTCTTTTAGAAAATAATTTTTAATTAGTTTATAAAGTTAGTATGTAAATTAAAATGTTAAACTAAAATGGTAAGCTGGAGAGGAAAATGATGGATCGAGTGACATTATTATTCCTGAAGATATGTTGTTAAAAACCATGCATGATCCAATAGCAAGTATTGTTCGTTCTACTTATCCAGACTTCCACAATATCCCAAATGATCCCACATATCTGCAAAATCGTGCAATCCTTGCTCCCACTCAAGACGTTGTGGATGAAATCAATGACTACATGACATCAATGAACAATGTGGAGAAGCGAAGAGCTATTTTAGCTCTGATTCAATTTGTAAGTCTGATTCAAATGCAGATTTTAAGAATGATATTAAGAATTTATAGCGGGGGTCCAAGGGCGGTAGCCCCCGTTAGCAAGGTCCAAGGGGTGGTAGCCCCTGGACGTTATTGTTTTATGAAAATCCTTTAAATTTTCGGGAACGGAGTCTGAAATCCTAAAGATTCGGACGGACGGATGAACGTCAAAATCGACAGTTCGACACAAAAACCAAAAGGAAAACTCACGCGAACACTTGTATCCTCTAATAAAAGTTAAATTCGATTTTCTCCCTTTTGCGTGAAAGTTCACTTCCTTTACGCGAATGTCCATGTATGGTTGCTAAAATCTTCTTCTATAAAAGGAGCCGTTGGGTATAGTTGAGAAGGCGTTTGAAAGGCTTGTTCTTGAATATTAACGTCTTATCCAATTAAAGTATTTTGGTATATCCCGAAATAACTTTGATATGAAAGCGTATTCGGGATTCATTAAACTATCAAAAGTGTAATCCTCTTTTTTCTTCGCAATAACGTTCTTCCTCCTAAGTTTCTGACGACATATCTTAATTAGGAGAATATTGTGAGGAAAAACACGTATCATCATCCGTACCATAAAAATTTTCTTTCTTCTTTCGTAATCAGCATTCTTACACATGGATTGATAACCTACTCACCAATATTTAGTGAGGAATTTATAGCATTATATACAAAGCCTCAAAACTTTGGTCACACATTTCTTTATACTTATCAAATTAAAAAGCAAATGTATTGGACGAGAGCACCATTTACAAAGTATTGTTCCCAAGGCTTTATCGACACCAATATATAAACTAGTACGTACTCCGTAATAGAACAAGATGATCAAAGAGTAGAAAGAAACGCTTGCATGCTTGATGATAATATTGTGTTGATCCATGAAAAGCATAAAGAGAATACAAATAAAATGAGCCATTAAAACTCTAACAAGTAGAGGAAATAAAACCTTTTCAAGCATCTCGTTGAGCAATCTCATCAGTTAGTTGATGGTGTACTGGGGGAGTGGATGTCGATCACACACTCCTTCACAGAAAAACCGACAGCAGTTTCTCATCATAGCTCGATCGTGATGACATCAGCATCCATATATGTCGATGATGGAGTGGATGGATGATGTGGTTGAAGTTTGAATAGCGAGCACATGTGGCCTGGGTGTGATGTTGTTGCCTCATCAATTTGAATCACATCGATGTTTGCCTTCCCCGAATCCTTGACTTCGTCCTTAATATCCAAAGCATACTCAATCTGGTAGCAGGTCTCGAATCTGTAAGTACAAAGTTAGAATTGATCAAGATCTGAGTTGGTACATCAGGATGTACCTGAAAATAGGTACAACCCGGCAGTACTCATTTTGAAGTAAAGTAGTACTCATTTTCGTACAAATATAAATATTCATTTTGGAATTCGTACTCATTCTTAAATAACACAGTGCTCATTCTGAAATAATATACTCCGTAATACTCATTTATTCAATCCAATGAGAGAAGCTTGGAAAAATTGAATGTAAGAGCACCTACTTGCTGTAGAACTAGTAGAGTTTTCATTGGGCAGCCTCCCCATCGCAAAGTGCAGAGAATACGCTACTTCAGCTAATTAATACGTATTAGAAAAAATCGAAGGAGAAGGGATCTCAGATCTGTTTCATCTTTCAGATCTTTTACAGAAAGCTCCTCTTCAGCTCCATTCTCCACCGCCCCATTATCGATTGGATCTCAAATCTATTTTCGATCCTAGCTTTTTCGATCTTCTCAACCGTAGGCGCGCCTATCTAATTGCCGGCTGTACCAAAAATTAGGTACAGCCGGCTGTACGGTATAATTTGCGTCAAGAACTTGGCAAACATCTCTATATGAATTCTTGGTTGATCATTTAATTCCTGACAAAGCACCAGTTGAGAATGGTAACCGGGGCACTGACCAGAAGACAGTCATTGGGCTAGGCCTTCACACACCGAGTTCTATAAGATTGAACCCATCCATTGGCAGTAAAGGCAGAGCCAAAAAGTCTCTCGCCAAAGTACTCAACCATATCATTCCTCTGCCATATATTGAACTCTACAATAATCCTATAATACAGAGTGTCAATAATCAGAAGACAGCTTTTCAAGTGTCCTAAACGACATGTTAGCTTTTATTTATATATATATATATATATATATATATATATATATATATATATATATTAAAAAAAAACTACAAAACAACTCACTTTTGTAGTTCAAGTTTAAAGGACCTCATGTCCTCATCCCACTCGCTGCATGCTCCCATGTCTAGGCATGTGGTGATTGCATCAAATGTCTCCGAATGACTGCAAGATTCCTGAAACAGCATATAAATCAGTGACTCCATATTAGTACTACCCCACTTTTATAACTTGAGAATACATGAGTAGATGGTTATCATATATTTCGAAGAACCGCAACATACATGACATCATGGAAATTACCTATGATGTGACATTCTGATTCCCATCTAGGTCCCCACCCATCCAAGACCCAAACTTTAATTGGTGTGCATGTCAATGGCATCCCTCTTCCAGCAGTAATCTGGAATGTTAAGAGGTCATACAATACCTTAACTTTCAATGACTGTATATCAGCTGAAAAGATACCTTCTTCAATGCATTGCTTGCTAAAGCTCTGTTTGATATCTGAGGAATAACTTCATGTGGAAAATATTATGTATTCAAGGTGTTCTCTGTATAGTAAAACTGTTTCAAATCATTCACTTTGCAAAACCAGACAGATCCCTGGGTGAAACAAACCATAAAACAAAAAGCACCTGTTTCTGCAATTCCCATCAGGTTGATGAGATAGTAACTGAATGTCCGAGCAAGTGACACTCTGCCTGTTTGTGACCATTGAATCCAACTTTGTCGCGAGCTAGAGTATGTGCCCAGAGAGGGTGTGGGTGTGTGGGGGGGGGGGAGGGATTATTACCTGAAAAAGACTTGTGGTGACTCAAAAAGTGTTATGTGTCTTATTAAGACATGTTACCCTAAGCATAGCTGAAGGCAACCAGCAGCACTTCCAACCAAGTCTTTCTTCTGTCTCCTAGAGGTAGGTTAGTGGGGGATTAATCATGGAAACACCTGCACAATAGTAAGTGAAGATGGCCATATATAGCAGAAAGAACAATTGATGTTGCATTTGAGCACGAATATATATCATTTCAGACACGAAAAGTGGGAGTGGCAGTGAATGCCATAATTGGTATATCTAATTTCACGAACTTGTAAATGTTGGTGCCGAAATCCTCTTGCAGCAAAAACAATCGCCAAAAACCAAACATATATAGATTGCAGGTATGTAAGTTCAGATGCATAACACTGCACTACAGATGGTCATGTCTAAAGGGACTTTGGAAGATACTGAACTACACATAGTCTAAATACAGAGAAATGCTAACAAATCACATAACAAGGTCACAAAGATTTTATAGTCTCATCAAATCAGTTGCAAACTTCTCTTTCCTTTAAAGCCTTTGACGCCCAAAATGTCCTCCTCTTCAAATTTTCCAAGGACTTCTTTGGTGGCCGGAACAACATATATTTCCTCCCCTTTCCAAAGGAAACATCGCATATCTTTGATTTTGCGTCTTGCAAAGTTAGGAACATGTTTCGGCTTTTGTAAGACCGGAATCTTCATCACCTGCTCCAAAAGTACTCTACTACAAACTACAACTCTATGCAAACACTGCTCCCCCACCAACCATGCTATGGGATGACCCCATTTGAATGGTTCCTTGTGCTTGAACCCCAGCATATCAAACCTGCAATTAATTGTTTGTTTTACTCATCACATCCATAAAGCAAATGTTACCCCCTAACAAAAAAAGCATAATAGATATAGAGTTTTGTATCTTACAATCCTCTTACGACGCTGCCACCGTGATCCTTAGACACAAGCCTCCAAGAATAAATCAAGTACAGAGCTTTGTTCTCGGTGTTGATCTCATCCGATTGAAAATGAAGGGTAATGAAGCTTCTATTCTTAATAGAGAGATCTCCATTGGCATGAATAGCAAAGACTACATGCCAAATAATAATAATAATAATAATAATACGGAGCACTAAATCAAATCATCAAAAAAAGATAAAATACAATATAAAATGTATTACTAATGGATGTTACTATTGGAGGAAGCTGATTAAGAACTTAGAAGTACTTTAATGACATGCCTTATACTTAACATTTAATGTACTTGAGAAGTTGATTTGTATTAATTAGTTTGCCTTATTGTTTTGGTTGAACGACTTCAATATTATTGTTTGTATATTTACTAATGATTAATATAGTGCACTTCGATTCTAAAGAACACACCTTTAAAAGGAGTACCACTATATGGATCATGAAGTGCGGCTTCTTGCAAGCTTAAGAAGACCTATCTTTGCACGCTATCCAGCCCTTCACTAATATTAAAGCCCTCAAGCATCCACCCAACCTCTTCGTCTGGTTGAATGGAATCTAGGTTGGTTTTGAATGAGGTGGCAAGGTGCTCGATGGCATCGTCAGAACCACTCCCCAATGTGTAGACACCTGGAATTAACTTCTTCATTCCCGATGTTCTTTTGGGCTTGCAACGACACTTGCGACCATGAATTGATGGACATCCGGAGAGATGGTCGAAATACACGTAGCATCGATAGGCAACCAACGTCTGCAAGTTAAACATGGACATAGCATATGTTTATATATTCTTATACTACTATTAATTAGGCATTAGTTTTTTTGCCATAGAGTTAATTTGTGGAGGAACAAGCACTGCAAATAAAAGCAATTAAGCGCTATAGATATTTAACATTAAATAATGGATTGTGTGTGCTGAAATGAAATAAAGATTTAAAAGGGTCTTACCTTAGACTCAAATGTGAGTATGAAAGACTGAACACCTTGTTTGAAATAGGTCTTGTTCAACTCGGTGGCCGCCGTAGTCTCTATAGTTGCCCGAATTTTGTTATTGTTGCTCATTATTGCAACTGCTTGCTCCAAATTTTCAATAAACTGCACAGCTTCCACTTGGTCCCCTGCCCATGACCAAAGTGCATGGGTTGATCCAACTCCATCAGAATATAGTACTCCACATTTGGAAGTTTCTGAGAGAACTACAAAACCAACATAGTTATAACGTTTTAATACACAAAATGACTAATTTAGCCTCAAATGCCACTTAATAACAAAATTCTTTGATTTTGGGAAGTAGGATAAAAATGCAAAGAACTGTTGAGGCGGGTTCCTCCAAATGGAGCGCCCACATGCTAAACTTAACAATTAAGTAAAATAAAAAATAAAATAAAATAAAAAGAGTTATAATTCCGGCAGGCCGATAACACGGATAAAGTGTCGGGTAAAATTAACCACTTGCATATAAAGTCGGGATCCACAATTCTAACCCAAAAGCTTAAGCTGATAGGTAGGGCTTCACCGATCTATATATGCTAGTGATACTCATCTTTATTTTCCGATGTGGGAACTCCAACACTCTCCCGCAAGTGATAACTAGCCTGGCCTAGTTAGCACTTGGACAAACGGGTCTAGCAAAACAATAAGGCAAATTAATTGTGGAAGACTTTTCAAAGGAGTGGCATGGATCCTTATCTAGAAAATGGTGGTGGAGCTTTGATAGTGAAAGTGACTGTCTAACCTCATCTATAAAAGAAAGAACACTACTTTGTGAAGATTAATCAATCCCAATAGTGGAAGAAGAGGAGCGACAGAAAAAAATCCCTTACCAAAACAAATGTATTGTTAGGGCTGTAAATATTTATTTGAAAATTCAATTATTATGTGTATCCATTAAAAGAGGTTATTATGTGTATCCCATTAAGAATATCCCAGTAAGTGATACGGATTAGGTAATCATACATCTGATTCGTTTATAATCCGCTCCGCATTGACATCCGCTTAAGTAACTGTTTGTTTGTGTATCTAATCCGTTATATAAAGTTTTTTCTAATTTTTTTATTTTTATATTTTGTTTCTCTATTGATATGCAAAGTATAATACTTTTGTATATGTAACACATATGTGTAGACATATAAAATTATGTGTAGACATATAAAAAATGTGCGTATATGCACTTTGTATATCTTTTTATCATACGAAGTTGTCGTAGAATATCATAAATCATAAAAAAAATAAGAATAATTATTGCACAACAAATTACAATTGATTTAATAATAATTTGACTTTAATTTAACTGAAAATTAAAGTATTATTTAATTTGATTTTAAAAATTGGAAACGGATACGGATATATTCGATAACCGACCGATATATATATATATATATATATATATATATATATATATATATATATTTATATATATAGACACACACACACACACATTTATATATATATAAAAACTACATAAAAAATTCTACAAAACAAGATTTGACAAAACTATATTATTTCATCAAATAACTAACAAAAATAGGTAGAGAAAGTGATTAAGTTTGACCATGTGAATAGTAATTCGGAAGAACATTTTAAGACAGAGGGAGTAAAGTATACACAAGGGTGAGTTTACTACAAATGGGTAGAGGTGAAAGAAATATTAATGTTTAAGATTTTATGTGATGTTTAATTTCTAACATGCCATAAATTATTGTGTAATATGCGGATAGAATGCGATATTTTTGTAGAACAGCATCCATATTTTCTAAGATTTGGTTATTTTAATACCAAGTAATAGTACAGTCTCTTCACTATATAAATAAAAGTAAATTATGCAGTTTTCACATAGATTAAAAAAGAAGTGATATTGAAAAGATTAACATTTCAAAGAAAATATTTAAATATATCAATGATTAGCTATTGTTGAAGATTTTCTTATTTTAATTTTGTTTTTATGTATATATGAATCGTAACACTTTAAAACTATTAAATTGTTATAATAATTTTAAGCTTAATTTAATTCAAATTCATTTACAGTAGATAAAATTAGATCCAATCATATCAGAACTTCAAAAATTCAGATAAGATTCAATCACATGAGACGTACAAAATGGGGCCTTAAGGAGTTGAAAACTAGAGAAATAATGCAATTAGTTTTCTTAAAAATAAGAGTAGTTAATGAATAATAATTGTTTAAAGAAGTAAAGCTAGGAAATATATTTTTTAGTAAATTCCTCAACTTGTCCTTTATAACATTGTGGTTCCCTATTTAGCCCCGTTCCGTTCAACTTATTTTATCTTATTCTTATTAAAACTAGATCAGATCGAATCAAATCAAACCAGATCAGATCCCATCAAAAATTATTATTATTATTATTATTATTATTATTATTATTATTATTATTATTATTATTATTATAAGTATTATTATTATTATTAAAAATGAAAAAGAATAAACTTTAGAAACAAGTTAAATAGAAAATTGAGAAAGTAATCCTTAATTATTGGACGTCGGAAAAATTATTTTTAAAATACATTGACAATGTCAATCTAATTTTACTTTTAAAATAAATTTTTTTTGCTGCTTGTAATTTGAGTTTCTAAAATTTTGATCTTTTATAAGGATGAGATATTTTAATAAGATTATACTCTCTTCTATATATTGATTTTCTAAATCTAATTACTTTTTGATGTATATATAAATTAAATATTTATTCTAATGTATATATTAAGTAATTATTAAAATAAATAAACATAAAATAAAAAATATTATTACATTATAATATGAATTATTTTTCTAATATATTAATTAAATATTTTTATTTTATTAAAAAAATCATAAAATAAAAAATATTGATTATATTATAATATGAATTATCATTACAATTTTCAAACGTTATTATAAAGTCAAATCAAATAATTGATTTAAATTTTAAATCAAATTATTATTAATCGGATCAGACCAGACTAGACCAGATCAGATCCAATCAAATCAGACTAGATCAGATCAGATCCAATCAAATCAGATCAGATCCAATCAGATCAAACCAGGCCAGATCAGATCAGAACTTATTAAAATCAGATCAGATCAAAAAATAAGTTGAACGGAATAGAGCCTTAGTCCTATATTATCAAATATTACTCGAGTAGTCCTTTTTTTATAGGATTCTTTCTATAATTAGTTGTTTTTTATCTCCTATCATTTTGGTGTTAATTTGAAGGCTAAAAGTATAATTTCACTTTCTTGTCATACACAATTTCAAAGGTCATTTTTAATGCATTGTTTGTGAATTACAGTCGCGTTCTACTAACAACATAGTCATAATTAATCAGATCAGATCAAATTAGATTCAATCAGATCAGATCAGATCCAATTAGATCTGACCAGATCAGATCAAATCCAATCAGATCAGACCAGATCAGATTTATCAGATCAGATCATATTAGAACTATAAAAAAATTAGATTAGATCTGAAAAAATAAATTAAATATACCGAAAAACAATTTTTACATTTGGTGTACCCCATTTGTCCCCCACACTCTCCATTACCACAAAAATGGGCAACAGACTAAAAAAAATTAAATAAACAAAAATGGAGTAAAAATGAGTGATAGAGAAAGGGGTGGGGGACAAATGGGTACACCAAATGGTGTAACCCTAGCATTGCTCATTTCAATTCCTAGTTCAAGGATAAACATATGGACTAGTGTGTTGATAATGTACGTACTTTCGTTCTCATAGCTTGTTATGCGAGAGTCAGCCCCTAATACAGCTCCCAATTTCGAGATCACTAGCACGTTTGTAGTCCCAAACCCTTTAGTTTCAGCCATATCCTGTAGGAGAAAGAAGAACCAGAGACAAAGGTGAGATGTGGAATGGAAGAGGAGTATTGTGCTTCTTCTACTGTTCAAGTACGTACGTACGGAAAATGAGTATTGTGCTTCTTCTACTCTTATCTGCTACTACGGAGTACTAGACAAACTTTTAGCATCCCCCGGTCCGTGTCCCTACGGCCCGGCCTGCAAAATCCACAACTTTGTTTTGACTTTTGACACAATTCTCCCTCCTAGAATTTTTATTTGAATTAGGAGGAGAGGAAAAATCCATATGACAATATATTACGAGTGATCATATTTATTGCCCCCCCCCCACCCCCCAAAAAAAATTATCTTTCCAGCATTCACTATTCGTTGCCTATTTGATAAAATAATATAATCTTGTCACCTCTATTTTTGTGGATCTTTCGATGCAGTTTTTTAAATATGTAATTTTTACGTTTTAATTCCACAATATTTTTCATATAAAATTACTTAAAAATAACTCCAGTCAAACACCGTAACGCATAATGGGAAGATAATTTTTAAACGGCGGGAATAATTTAATTTGTTTAATCACCTACAGAGTACAACGCTACTCTTACCCTATTCAGATATATCAAGAATGCTAGGGGTACACCATTTGGGGTACCCCATTTGTACCCCCCTCCATCTCCACCATACAAAGCAAGAGAGAGAAAAAAAATTAAAAATAAAAAAATAAATGAAAGGCTAGGATGAATGGTGTACAAAATGGGTACCCCAAATGGGGTACCCTAGCATTTCTCTCAGATATATACAGGCATAATACGTGTATTCATGCACAAATGGTTCTGATACAATAAACTCAAGTGAAGAACAAAAACAAGCTAGTTTGGCATAAATTAGTGAAGGGATATTATTCTTATTCTTTTTTTAAAACTCTATTTGAAACTCTTTATCATATAGAATTATTGTCAAAAGTATACAATTAAATGTCTTTTTGGTTATTTCCTTCGTTCTACAAAGCACTTCATCTTTTATTTTTTCTCTTTCACCAAAACATGTTCACTTTCTATTAAAAAATTACTTTTATTCCTACTCTTTTTTATCCTACTTATTATAACATATTTTTTCCTAATAATCTATCCATCATATCTTTTTATTCATCACATTAAGAGAAAAATTAGAAATCAATTATGGTTTAATACTTCATTATTTTTACATTTTGTCAAGACGGGAAGTGTCTTAAAAAAGCGAAGTAAATAATTTTGAAATACGGAGTATATAGAAGCGGAGTATACATTTACGGAGTACATTATTATTGTTTATTTCTGCATCCTGACATTTACCTACCCAAGACATCATAGAACTTAATAGGCAAAGGAAGGTAAATGCACCATTTTTATTTAGTGCAAATCAAGTCCGAAAATATAGAAAGAAAAAAGAATCAAACTCAAGTATGTGAATAGTAAATATACGGAGTTTAATTTAGATTAAAATTAGAGAACAATAAGTTGCTAATTATAAAAAAATTCTTAGGCCACGGGATCGAGCTAGCTTTTAAAGTTTTGGTTGAGGCATCATCCTTTTTTTCTTGTTAACCAAAAGATCACGATTCAAAAGTCAAGTACTCAACGCTACGTTGTCTTTAAAATATTACGATTCCACATGAAAGGCTTGAATCGGTCACTGAAAATGGCTATAATCATAAATTTAAAGGGAGAAAGACTAAAGTAGAACTAAAACATTGAAGATATACTAAAATAGGACCTCCATGTTTTTATTGCCGAAATAGGACTTACATTACCAAACATGGTCATATACATTACCAAGAAAGTATAGTAATTTGCACATTTACACTGCCACATTACCACAATGCAAAGTCACATTACCACAATGTAAAGTCCTATTCCGAGGAAAAAATATGAAAGTCCTATTTTGGTACTTTTCATTATATTTTAGTCCTATTTAGGATGATTTCTAAAACTTAAACTTTCAGTTGAATTAGTTTCTTGACATTAGCTGTGTTTGAAAAATAACTTTTCAGATAGCTTTTGACATATTTGACTGACTTTGGATTTTTTGACTGAGCAAACAACCAAAATCATTGTTTGGCTAATGACATTTTCACTTAGCATTTTGATCCGAAAACCCAAAATCAGAAAAGCCATGGAGAGTAGTATTTGGACTTGGCTATTAGGATAATTAATTTTTTTAAAAAATCATTTTTCTTGAAAGATATTCTATAATATATGTAAAAAATAAAAATAAAAGTTAAAAAATTCAAAACAAAAAATTTCAAATTTCAAAAAAATGAGATGAGAAAATAAAAAGTAAAAATTATTAAAAAGTTGTATATTAATAATTTTTATGAATTAAATGAAAGTAAAATTTAATACTCCATATAGTAAAGATTTATTTTTTACATTAAAAAAACGAAAAACAAATATCGTGTGTGTGCATTAGAACAACTATTTTTAAACATCTAATTTTACCAAACATTTTTAACGATCAGTCAACTCATCCTGCCGGTCAAGCCAGTTAAACTAAACAGTCATTCATAACAACTAGCACGAACTGCTAACAGTCATTGGCCGTCAGCCAACATCCAAAGAAGGCCATCCCATTATAAGTACTCTCGAATTTGATCTCTAAATTCAAATATAAATGCATTGACATACTCAAATTATACTCCTTATTATGTTTCTTTGCTTATTTTAATGAATTATTACACAAAATACGGAATAAAATAATTATTACGTTTTCAAATAATTGGTGTAACACTTAAATACATAAAATTCTTTGTGAAGTTAAGTGATATACAGAGTAATAAGTAGAATTTTATATATTTGAAAATTTTTGAATTTTTTAAAATTTGAATTTATTATATTTGAATTGATCTGATTATATTTGAAAATTTGAAAATATTTGAATTATATTTTGAAAATTTGAAAATATTTGAATTATATTTTTTTATATATTTGAAAATATTAAAATTCTTTGTGAAGTTATGTTTCTGAATTTTTGAAAATTTGATTGAATATTATTTGATTTGATTGGTTTTGATTTGATTGGATCTGACCCGACTCGACCTGATCTGGTTGAATTGATCTGATCATATTGAATTCGATCTGAGCTGATTGGATCTGATTTTATCTAATTAGATCAAGTATAAATGAATTTAAATTTAATTTAAACTAAACTTTAAATTATTACAAAAGTTAATAGTTTTAAAGTATTACGCTTCATATATACATAAAAAAAGTAAAATAAGAAAGTCAACTAATCATTGATATATTTAAATTTTTTTTGAAATATTAAACATCTTTTCAATGTCACTACTTCTGTAGTCTTTGTGAAAACTAAACAATCGGTATTAAAATAACCTAACATTAAAAAATATGGATGTTATTCTACAAAAGTATCACATTCTATATGCATATTACATAATAATATATTTCATGTTACAAGTTAAAGATCATATAAAATCTTAAACACTAATATTCCTTTCACCTCTATCAATTTTGTCATAAACTCACCCTTGTGTATATATTATACCATCTTAAAATTTAAAAGTAAGTATTTTTAAGTACAAAATATTTATGGTTTTGAAAGCTATGTTATAATTATTTTATAAACAAGTATTTTAAAACAACTCTTTTGAAAAATACAACTTTTTAAGCTTTAACATTACTTGCATGCATCATTCCTACAAGTTAAGCAATGATTAAAAATAATGATTTGTAGTTGAAATATAATAATATTAATAATGGAGTAATATTTAAAGTTATAATATTAATTAAGACTTAATTAGGTATAGCTTTAAATAAAGTAATTCGATTTGATCAAATAATTGTAATTATTATTTAATCCTTGAAAAAGCCGAATCCCATCAGTCTTGGTATTCGTCCGTGTGCATCGTGCGTCCCAAGTAACACGTGACATAAATATTTTATTTGATAAAATAATAATTAACCAAAATTAAAAAATAAACAAAAGTTACAGAGGCACATATAAATGGACTAGAAAAATTGGAACCCTTCTTATTTTGGAGTTTGAGGTAGGGGTGAGTTCTGTTTTTTCGGTTTGGTTCTTTCCTAAAACCAAAGACGGAATAGAAGTTAATTTGGCAGTTCGGTTTGATTCGATTTTTCAAAAAAAGTGAACGATCAATTTTTTATCCAAACACTAGAATTGCAACCCCAAATTGAGGAAGTTCATTGAGTATATATTTGTTCACATTTAAAACAACCAACGTAACCTCATAAGTTCTCATAATAAAAAAATAAAAGTCCAAGAAGTCAAGTCAACATGTAATTAAAGTTTTTATCATAATTTCTAAACTAAAACTTGCATCTTCAAAATTAAATATGTAAAAAAACGAAGTAATTTAGAATTTTATACGAAGTACGGACTACGGAGTACCTTTTAATTTTATTTGCAACATCCAAAAATAAATTGAGGCTAAAAGGAGGCTTACCATAACCAAAATACTTAAGCTTAGAAAAAGAATTTAAAAAATTAAATATGCAAAAACGAAACAACTTAAACATTTTAATCTACATAAATCGGAGGCTTAGCATAACAAAAATGGTTTTTAATTTACATTTTTAAATATTTCGGTTTTTTTAATTTACATACTCGGTATTTTGGATTTTTTAAATTTAGTTTGGTTTTCATAGTCCAGAACCAAAAATAAAACAATTTAGAAACGATTAGGTTTTTCACACTCAGTTATTGTTCTTTTAATTTGTTATATTTTGTAGCACAATCTAACCGATTTCAATCCGAATTCCAATTTGTGAAATTTGCACGGAATAGGACTAAAACATAAGTCATTTTCCAATATATGACTTAAACTTTTTTATTCTTTAAATAGAATTTAATAATGACTAGTGAGAATAATAATGTCCAAGTGATGCTGGACATTTAGTTGAATAATGACTAATAAATATGAAATAATGACTAATGGTCCTACATTGAAAAATAAAAACATATTGTCCTATATTGGGAAAATCATTATCTTATCTTTTAGGGTAAATTACCTTTCTAATTTTCGTAACCCATCCCTAGTTTGAGTTGATAAAGGCGAAGTGGAGATGCAATTGGGCAGTGCACGACAAGACATAAAGGGGATGGAGGACATCATTGAAAAACTGAGTGCTTTCATGGTGCACTTTGAGTGTATATCATTTTTGTAAATTTTCTTATATACTCTGTAATTTTTTAAAGTTTATTTTATTAAAAAAGTAGATGTTTATTTAAAAAGAAATCAACTTAAACAGGAATAAAACATACATGAAGTATCAAAATAAAAGTTTCATATTTTTATTTTAGCACTGTGATAATGTAAAGTTATAGATATGCATTTTGTT